CCCCTCTTTTATTTTCTAAAAAGATTTTATTTATTTAAAGAGAGAGAGAGAGAGCACATGAGTGGGGGGAGGGGCAGAGGGGGAGAATCTTAAGCAGACACCCCGCTGAGCACTGAGTCCCACGAGAGGGGCTCAGTCTCACAACCCTGAGATCATGACCTGAGCCGAAACCAAGAGTCAGACACTTGACTGAGTCACCCAGGCGCCCCAGTACATTGCTCTTTTAAATGGAGCTTCCAAAATCCTTTTAAGGAAATTTTTCTCCATGGGGTGGCAGGAGCCCAATGTGATTAAGAGGCCAGGAAAACCCTACCCTGAGGTAATTGGTCTCACAGGAGGCAGGCTGGATTGAGGACCAGACGGGAACACTTCTGTGCCTCAAGCATTTCCATCTTTGTTTTCCGTCTTGCAAGCCTTAAGGACTGCATTAGAAGTTCTTTCCACAGGCATTTAAATGACATTTTCATTTTTTTTCTCCCCAGGGAATCAGTCAGACCACTGAGTAAGTTCTAGAGTGCAGTGACAGCTCTGGAGTGTAGAACTCTGCCCTCCTTCAGACGGACCTGCTAAGGGGCTTCTGTTACCCCAAACAATTCATTATAAGGTGTTTTCACCCCATAGAATGGGAATGGGCTAGATTCCGAGGTAGTCAAATCAGGCTCCCTGATCGAGAGGTACAGATGGTCACGGTGGGTCAGTTCATTTGGAATCTGACATAATAAAATGCAAACTAACATTTATTGAGATATAATAATAACTTATTATATGTGAATGTGCCAGTCTCTGGCCTTCACACTTTTATGATTTATCATGATTAATGATCTTGCTAAAGCCTGGATTTAAGAGCATGACAAATGGGCTATTAACCTCTTGATCTCATAGTTTAGAAAAGCAAGGCTTGTCAAGGTTAACTAACGTGCCCAAGGACACAGCTAGTAAGTGTGGAGCTGGGTCTCAGTAGTGATGCAGAGAGCATCAGAACCATTGTTCAGAGTTTTCCTAGCTGAGCTGAAGCATTTAAAAAAAAATCAGGGAGGGGCACCTGGGTGGCTCATTCAGTTAAGCTTCAGACTCTTGGTTTCAGCTCAGGTCATGATCTGGGGGTCCTGGGATCGAGCCTCATGTCAGGCTCTGTGCTCAGCGGGGAGTCTGCTTCTCCCTCTCCCTCTGCCCCTCACCCTGCTTGTGCACTCTCTCCAAAATAAATAAATAAATCTTTAAAAAAAAATCAGGTGGACAAACCCCTACCATGCTTGGGCACTCTGTTCATTGATTGGAGAATGCCTTTGTAATGCGCCTGTCCCAGGAGGACAGGATCAGATTTGAGGCTGACCTTGTACCGTAACTAATTATGTTAGTGCGAATGTAATTGGACTTGATGTATGAGGAACACTGGTATGGCGTCTGCCCTGGGATCCCACTGTCCGCGGCACAGGAAGAGTCCCGGGGAAGGGACCGGAATGGGCAGTATGCTAGGAAATGAACAGTTAACCCTAGAATCGAAAGAAATGGGTTTTGGAAAATAAACTCAGTGAAACTGGTATTTTCAAACTTTCTGATGAAAAGGTGAAGAGATCTGTGTTTTATCCTTGCATCCGCCACTAGATAATCAGCGGACTATGATTTAATCTGGCTAATCAAGCGATTACTTGAACTTTCCCGTCTGTAAAATGGCATAAGTCCTTGCCCTGTAGCCGGCACTGAACACGCTGCTCAATTAACAGTGGTTACCTGAGTGGATAAGCCAACGAAGAAATGAAGGAAGCCAAGAGAGGAGTGAGAGTCTCTGAAATGAAGGACAAAGGGGAAAGAAACCACAATGTTAATGCAGTATGGAATGATTTGCCTGATCATTCCCTCAGTTCTGCTTGGCAGCTCGGTAGCTTTGGAGAACATTTTTACACTTACCCTCTCCTTGAGTTCTCCTAGCACCTCTGAGATGGACGCTTCCTTCCTGCTTCTAACCCCATGTGTCACGCAGCTGACAGAGGCTCAGTAACAGAGATGACTGGCTCACCAGCCACTGGCCAGGCAAGTGGCCCCGGTCAGCCTTAGAGCCCCGGGCTCTCCCCACCCGCTGTAGATCGATGCCCCAGTCCAGGGCTTCCTGGGCCAGCAAAGGTGGGTTGGTGCTTCAAAAGGAGTGACATGTGAGCTCCCATGTGAGGCTCTCAGCACTGTTGCAGGCAACCTGTTCTCCCCTCCCTCCCTGTCTCTTCCCAGAAAAAATAGAAAGAACACACAAATATTGGGAGGTTTACCTTACCAAATTTGAGATAACGTGTTTTACTTCAAGGCACCTGCTGTGAAGCATGGTAGAAAGGAGGGAGATGGGGTTTTGTGGTGGGCCTTCTGCATTGAACGAGTACCAAGGAAAGTAGAGACAAAGATGCCATCCCAGCCTTCCAGAATCCCAGAGTCATTTCTGTGATTAGCCAGGATGGTGTTTAGTGTGGCTTTCAAGGTCATGGGGAATGACAGCCATTACTATCCATTCCAGTAGTATACACAGGTGTGTTTAGCTTGTAGGTGCTCTTCAGGTTTACTTCATGTGAAAGAATCCAATTTACTCTGACTGGCACTGCCTTCCTTCCCCAAATAGAGGAGCTTTTGAAAAGGAAGCAGTGCATACTTTCATGAAATAGTGGTACCCAAGTCTGTGTCTGTTTTCTCACTTCTCACTCACTCTTCAGGCCATTCCATGTTGGCTTCTGCCCCCGTCTCTCTCCAACGCAGCCTTTGCTGGAGTCACTCGTGACTTCCGTGTCACTAAATTCTATGGACACATTCCTTACACCTTGTGTTCCTTGATGCTGACCTGTCTTTGACGCTATTGGCCACACCTTTCTCTTTATGGTCTTTTCCTGGTTGTCCTCCTACATGCCCAGGTCCTCCTCTTTCTCCTTCATGAGCACATCCTTCTGCACCTGGCTGTTGTATAGTGCAGGTCCCTGAGTCTTGATTCTAGGCCATTTTCTCTTTTTAGTTCCCACTCTCTTCCCAGGTGGTCTCATCCTCTCCAGTGGCTTCGCTTTACTCTCTGTGTCCCAGTGGCTTTCTACATTCCTTAGGATGGAGTGGGCTGCACAGTGGTAACATGCCAACACCAAACCCCAAAATGACTGAAGACATGAACAGTCTCTTCTCATGTGTGCAAAGCCTTCTGTGGGTTTGGCATCACTTCTCAGTGGTGACTCAGGGATTCGGGCTGATTCCAACTCGTGGCTGTGCCCTGTGGACACGTGGCCTTCACCAAGGCCCCGAGGCACAGGGCAGTGGAAGACAAAGCATGGAGAGAGAGAGCCCCCCGGCCCTCCTGCACTCCCACTTACAGCCCTTTGGCTCCAGCTTAACTGCCAGGGAGCCCGAAAAAGAAGCATTCCTGCCTGTGTTCCTGGGGACAGGAGACTGAAATGGGCAAACACTGAGCATCGTCTCAGACACACCCTTACCTTTGCAAGTCTGGCCCAGATCTCTCTTCAGAACCCTAGCCCTTATGCTCAGCTGCTGCTATGGCATCTTCATTGGCCAGGGGACCTCAGGAGTGACTCACACTTCCCTTGTCCCAGGTGAGCTCACACCGGCAGCCCCTGCCTTCTCTCAGAGCCCCCGTCTCAGTGAAGAGCCGAGTGAACAGCCATCCAGTGCCGCAAACCCAAATCACAAGAATCGCTCCCGACCTCGCCCTCTCTTTCAGTCCCACTTTCAGTCTGTCACCACATCGGTCAGTTTGACCTTCTCTCTGCTTCTGTCTAACCTCAGAGCAGCCCCCAGTCCAGGCTACTGTGCTCTTTCACTCAGTCATGTCTGTTCAAGTGTGTCAGAGTGAAAGGTCCATCTCCTTTGCAGGTCTTCCAGAGACGTAACACTGGGCAGCTGGACTTCTTCAAGCGCTGGCGGACCTACGTGGAAGGCTTTGGGGATCCCATGAAGGAGTTCTGGCTTGGTATGATCTCTGAGATTCCAGGAGGGCTGTGGGAGAGGGGCTATTTCATCCTCAGAGGCTGCCTGGGCAGCTTGAGAAGGCTCCCCACATTCAGGAAGACGTCCCAGTGGCAGGGACAGGACACTCTGAGGAGCCAGCCCACCAGGGTGTTGGTGGGGCCATGTTGCTGGGAAGGTTCTCATGGGGGCCATGTGCTGGGCTTGTGACAGGGTGGGCCCATCACAGGGGGTCTTCATGCTGTATGTGTGCCCCACAGGATCCACCTGGAGCTGGCACGTCTTAGAAAAGTAGTTGACCCATTGGGGTTCAGGGCTCTTCCTAGGAGGTCATGTCCGGAATCCCTTTGCAGCTCTTCTAGTAATGCCAGCCATCATGGGGATGGTGTTTTCCTTTTCCTTCTGTTCTAATCGGGAGCAGATATTCATGAAGAGTAAAATAGCCAAAAGCATCCATAGGGAAACGAAGAATTAAAAAAGCATAATCTGGAGACTCATTGTCTGATAGAGTGGATGATGGTTGTGGTCTGCGCACGGTGCAGAATTCCTTCAGAGACCTCGGAGTGGTGGCTGATGTCCTCTTCTCCTTGGCGAGATATGGGGGTGAGAGGGGGAGGGGCTTCCGCTTTGGACAGAAGGAGTCGAGGGCAGGTTCACTGCCCCATTGCCCTGCATGGCCCCTTCCCAGAGGACACGGTTTCCACACTCATAAACATGGCCGTGCCAAAGAAATAATAGGATGAGAAAACGGGCACCCCCCCCAACAGAGACAGTGTGAGGAGAGCCCCCATTAGCAGAGGAGGCAAAGGCCACGGTGACTTTCGGTGCTGGAAATCGCAGATGCTAGTGGCGTGTGCCTACACACACCAGTCGACCGGTTATTGGAATTCCCTTCCTTATTTCAGGACTTGACAAGCTACACAATCTCACTGCTGGCACCCCTACCCGCTACGAGGTGAGAGTGGACCTGCAGACTGCGAACGAATCTGCCTATGCTGTGTATGATTCCTTCCAGGTGGCCTCCAGCAAGGAGCGGTACAGGCTCACAGTTGGGAAATACAGAGGCACAGCAGGTAGGAGAATGAGAACACATTTCCTCCCGGCTGGGATCTCTGGCTCCCTGTGTGTCTGCGGATCGGACTGCCGCATGCCGCGGACTGGGGGTGAGGGGGGCGGGGGATGGCCTGTTGCTCCGTGGAGGGGACCTGTCCTCACTGATGGCCCAGGCCCTGCTCCCTGCAGGGGGCGGGGGCCCACCAGAAGTGTGAAAGCAGCCCTTGACAGTCTTCAAGTTGGAACTTTTGTACGTTATGCGTTGATCCCCACCCCCCACCCGTAAAAACGCTCTTCTTACGCTTCCCTGGTTCCGGCTGTTGTGCATCAGCCAAGGAGCCTGCATCCGGAGTGATTCATGGTGCCTGCCCACCTGTCCTGGGCTCCAGCCACGTGCCTGCAGGCCTTGCCCAGGAGTGTGTGTGTGTGTGATTATTTAAATATTTTGCAGCGCTTTGCCATAAGTAAAGGGAAAAATGAAAGTTCTGATTCAAACAACAAGCAGCGTAGGTCTCATTAACTCTGTGCAGAGTGTGAGGACCCAGAGATGAGCTGTTCAGCTGAAAGCAGAGAATATCTAACCTCGATTAGCGGCTCAGTGCACTCAAGCTGGTTGACGGTGTGTTCAGTTGTGAAAGAAGAGAACAAAACCAAGCAACGTGACTGAAACACTGGGATTATACCATTGGATATTCTGTTTCAGACGGACGGGGTAGTTACTGTTTTAATATCATATCTTACGCCTGGATTTATAGTTTTTAAACCCTAACAAGTAAGTGTGTTGTTTGATTCTGCGTGTTTTTGACTTGGGGGTAACTATGCAGGAATGTGTTACCAGCCGGATCCGCTGACTGTATGGGCCGTGGTCTCTCCCCTTGTCTGCCATGTAAGCAGATAAGTCATAATAGAGAGTGACTTTTGCAAAGAGCCACATAAGGGGTGAGGAGAATGAAGAGCTATAGGGTGTGAGAAGGTGGCGACATTGAGGCCTGAGGCTGTTGAAGGAAGCTCCCCGCAGGGCAGTGGGCTGGAGCTGGGTCTGCAAGGGTGAGCCTCAGATGGGAAACAAGGAAGGGGTCCCCAGGCCTGGGGGAGTCCACGGTGAGCAAGGACTGAGCAGAGGCAAGGAAAGTGGGGTGGGCTCATGAAGCCTGAGGCCACTCTAGGACCCCCTTATGGCAGAGGACTATGAACAGATGCCTCTTAGTGTCTGGGGCCATGATCCGAAGTGGCCAACTGCTAAGGCAGTTTCTTGTAGGTCTTATAATTTAGTTGTTTAAAAAAAAATTACATGAATTTTGCATTTGCTCGTTTCACAGTGCTTAGCATGGAGCCCGGCAGGGTAGGTGAGTTTCACACATGATGTTGCTAGCAAGAGCTTTCTGTGCAGTCTTACAGATGTTCTATATTGTAAAGGATAGTCCCTGAGACCCAGATAGCTTGCATCGGGGTCAGTGAAGGCGTGAGCTTGGTGACATGGGGACAAGAGACAATGTCCTGCCTCTCTCCCTGAAGCCCAGGGACCTCCCGGCCTGCTGGCAGGGGACCCGCTAGGGCCACCCATCCTCCTCTCTTCTCTCGTGCGCATGTACCTGTTCTGAGGCCAGTCTTAAAATAACCGGGAAATGAACTGATGCTAATGGGAAAATGAGGGAAAAGAAGTCAATGTATTCACTAATTAATGGGATTCTCCTCCCAGGGACTCTATTTGCATTTTAACCGTGATTAGGGGATAATTCCCATTCTGAGGTTGTTCAGGCCCGCAGTGCTGGTCAGTGGAGCATGTGTTTTTTCATAGGAAGCCTCGGGAGACCTTCAGATCACACCACATCTAGCCAGCGATCTGGTCTCCCCGTATGTGCTGGCGTTCCTACTGGGAAACTCTGACATTGCATGGTGGGCTTCGTGGCATTTTAGCTTTCCTTATATATGCTGATTGGTCCCCAGGAGGGTTTTGCAATTTAGGAAGCTTCTGGTTCCTCATGAAGAAACCCCAGCAAGGCAGTGCTGGGTAAATTTAGTTTCTGATTCTGAATCTTGGAGTGGGGCAGGGAGGACATCAAATGAGCTCTACCTTCAAGACGCTATTCATCTCTTGAGAAGTTATCATGAAAACATAAACAGCTATTTGGAGTGGTGCAGAGTGGCTTCTATGGGCTAACCGACCATTTACAGCTGGTTTCAAGGCCCACCTCCAGGAGACTCAGTGACGCCCAACCAGGGCCGGATCCACACCCTGGGGACACTTGGAAGCGCAACTGAGGAACTCCACCAGTGTTTGGTGGGCTGGGGCCAGGGAGGCCAAATATCCACAGCGAAGGACTGCTCTACGCAAAAGTGCCTTTCTCGCTTTGAAATGGATTTTTAAATACTGGTGCTTAAAAGGAAGGGGAAAAAAATTGTTGGGTCCATGGACAAGAGGGAAAGCCCCAAATGGCGCACATCACTCTTCCATTGGTCCGTTCCTGGTCCCAGGGTTCACGGTCCAGACACATGGTCCTTTGTGACTCCTGGGGGATATGATGTGGATGGCTCCCTCGGGTCTGAGGTGGCTCAGCCACCTGGGCCTGCCTTCCTGCCTCAGGAGGTGATGGTGGAGTAGTGGTAGATGAAATAGGAGATGAGCAGCTCAGTGGCCCCACCCTGGGCTTTTCTGGGCGTGCCGCCAACCCCTCCAATCCACTAGCCGAGGAGAGCCAGTTGCCCACCCAAAGCCGTTATACCAGAAGTTAGGGGTGCTCATTTCTCATCCAGGGTTTTCTCCTACAACCCTGAGAAAAGAGAGAGGGTCTGACCACCACCGGCTTTTCTACTCTATCTTACGTAGGGAGATAAGCTTAATAAATCAGAATGCCGAGTTGGCTGGGGGCCTGACAACCAGAGAAAAGTGATTTTTTGATTCATGGGTACACCCACTGTCTGTGCTCTGAACGTCAGCACGCCTTCAGTTTCTGGAAGCGAGAAAATCCGTCTGTGGAATAAACTGCCACACTTAGCCCGGAACCTGCTTCACTTCTCGTGATCCCAGCGCCCAAGGTTAGAGAACCACAGACAAATCGTTAAAGAAAGAGCCTTTGCACACACTCTTAGAAAACAGCTCTGGGAACTTTAGATGCAAGTTAGGTAAGCTGTGCTCATTAGAAGGGTCACCAGGGGGCCATGGCGTGTTATTTTAAACTGTAGTTAACTGCCAGAAAGCTGAAGGGGAGAGGAGATGCCTGTGAGAGCCACCGTATGCCTTTCCTCGACTGGAGGAAACGAATGGGGGTGGAGCCCGTCGGCTGTCTCAGCAGGAGTGGCTGCCTTGCCTCCCCCCACCTGCTGCCCTGCCTCCCCCCCATTTGCTGGGTAAGGCGGGGCAGGACCCATTGTTTGAGCTGCCAGGTCAGAGGGACAATCTGGGACCTTCCCTTTTCGCAACATGTTAACTCTTTCCATAGCTCTTTCCATACCACCCCCAGCGAAGTCCTTGAGAGCAGGGGCCCCCTCTGTCTGTATTCCCAGAGCCTAGCCTAGTGCTGGGCCCTGGCGGGCAGGGGGAGGGGGGTCTGAGGTTTCCTGAATAAATGAAGTTGCAGACTACAGTTCTCCGACTTCAGCTTGCACCTCAGGGGCTTGTCATCCCAAGGACTTGTGAAAACACAGATTGCAGGTGGGTACTACCTTGGGGGTTTCTGCTTCTGTAGATCTGGGGTGGGGCCCGAGAACGTGCATTCCTCACAAGTTCTTAGCTGCTGCTGCTGCTGCTGGTCCAGGGACCACACTTGTAGAACCAGAGCTGGCTTGCTCTTGTTAGCATAACTCACCTGTGGAAAGGGGGAAGCCACCAGAGGGAAGAGCCCTGGACTTGGAATCTGAGGCCTGAGGTTTGAGTCCCCTGGCCCTGCTGTTTGTGGCCAGTGGGGCATTGACAAGTCCCCAGAGTCTAACCTTTGTGAGTCCGTTTCCTCCTGGGACTGAGAGCTGCCCGCCCCACCTCGTAGGCTATCATGAGGGAGTCAGAGGAGGGTACCCAGGGTGAAGAGAGTCGGTAGCTCAGAGATCCGAAGAAAACTAAGTGTTATTGTAGGAACATGACTTGATTTAGCTTGGGATTATCGCCTCTTATGAGTGAATTAAGAAATAAACTGATAAAAAGATGACAAGGACGGTGGGGAGATAGGAGAGATACAGGTCAAATGATGTGAGTGGATTTCCAGACAGGATGTCATGAAGCTCAAACCGTACCTATGTGCCAGGAAGGCTCAGGAAACTCAAGTGTGTGTGCGAGGAGTGTGTGTGCGAGGAGTGTGTGTGCGAGGATTATTAAGGAGACTGGTGCTTCCTCAGGACTGGGGCCCAGCTGGCCTTTGAGGAACGGTTAGGATTTGGACCGAGGTGGGCAGAGAGACTCCGGGAGCAGAAGCATGGGGGCAGATCCGTCCACTGCACAAGCAGCGCGTGCCTGTGGGGACAGTGGGCTCAGAGATTGTGCGAAGGCTACAGCCAAGCCCTAGGCCTGCAGAGCCAAGCAAGGAGGACCAGTTCCCTCCAGGTGCTGGGAAGAAGGACATTGAGTCTGAGAGCGTGGAAGTGGGTGCGTGTGCTTCAGGGAAGTCCGGGAGGGCTGTTGTGTTGAGACAGGTGCAGAGAGGAGCATAGGCTGGGGTGAGGGCATCTGTGAGTGATCTGCAGGAGGAAGGACTCCATAAAGGGGTACAACGGGTTTGTCAGATGTGTCTCGGGGGTCCAGGCGGGGTGGCTGGGAGGATGGTTGAGCAAAGACAGGGAAGATGGGCAAGGGGTTACCTCGTGCGAGGGGTGGTCAGGTACTGTGAGGAGAGCCGATGGGTTTGGTTTTGGATATTTGGTTACTTCACACGACTGCAAGGCCTCAAAGTGAGAATGCTGTCAGGGCTTTTCAGGCTATTGGAGAGACAGGCCCGAAGTTTGGGTGACAGGCCGGGAAGGAGAATCTGTTCATCTGTATCATGTTCTCATCTTGGCTGTTTTGAGAGACGAGTGATTCCCTGTGACGTAACTGGCCAGATCCTTGGCATTTTCATGCCCAAAGATTGTTCTGCTGAGTCCAGAGCACAATCACCATCTCAGTGGCAAAACTTAGACGCTCACCTCTCATCTTTCCTCTCCCGCAGGGGATGCTCTTACTTACCACAATGGATGGAAGTTCACAACTTTTGACAGAGACAATGATATTGCCCTTAGCAACTGTGCCCTGACCCATCATGGTGGCTGGTGGTACAAGAACTGCCACCTGGCCAACCCCAATGGCAGATACGGGGAGACCAAACACAGTGAGGTACGTGACAGGTGAAATTTTCTGTCCCACGTCTGCTCAAAGCTTTCAGGGGACGCTCTCCAAGCTGGTTTGGCTACCCCTCTCCTTCTGATGCCTCCAGTCAGGACAGGAGGGCTTCTTCTCCAGGTTCTATGGCCTTGAGGTCAAGGTCTTCCCTGCCCATCTGCTGCAGCCCCATTCCCCCCCGCCTGCATTCCCACCAGGACTGCACACTTACTTAGCTTAGGTGGGTGGGAACTCAGGCTGTCCACTGCTGGATAGAGACAGATAACATGGATTCTGCACCATCTCCATTTACTGGTTCACATATGGACACTGTCTTAGTAACGAAATACCATAGATTGGCTGACTTGAACAACACACATTTATTTCTCATAGTTCTGGAGGCTAGGAGGTCCAGGATCAAGTTATCAGCAGATTCAGTTCCTGTTGGAAGCTCTCTTTCTGTCTTGTGGATGGCGGCCTTTTCACTGTGTCCTCATGTAGTGGAGAGAGAGAGAGAGCTCTGGTCTCTTTTGCTTTTCTTATAATGGTACTGATCCCGGGGCGCCTGGGTGGCTCAGTTAGTTGTGTGTCCGACTCTTGGTTTCAGCTCAGGTCATAATCTCGGGGTCGTGAGATTGAACCCCGTGTTGGGCTCTGTGCACTCAGCACGGAGTCTGCTTGAGATTCTCCCTCTCCCTCTGCTCCTCCTCCTGCTCATTCTCCCTCTCTCTCAATGAATAAATAAATAAATAATTAATAAACAAATTAAATAAAATCTTTAAAAAAAAGGCACTAATCCCATCTTGGGGGACCCACCCTTATGATCTCACTAACCCTAATTACCTCCCCAAGGTCCCACCCCCAGCTGCTATCACACTGGGGGTTAGGGTTTCAACATATACATTGGGGGTGGTGTGCAAACATTCCATTCATAACAGACACTTCTTAATTCCTTCTAGTTGATCTCCCAATGAAACCAGAGCTATTTCTCTCAAAGCCTTTGATCACCAGGAAAACAAAGTCTTTTCTGCCTTTGATCAGACCCACCTTTGGATCCACTTTCTCCAAAGCCGCTCAGGGTCTACCCAGAGTGTTATGCTAAGCGCTATTTCAGGAGGTACACACAGGGCTGAGAGTTCTCGATGGCTCCTCTCCCCTTCCTTGCTCTGAAACTTTGCTACCGATGATTTCTCAAACGTCTCTGACCTGTGGGCATCATCTTGACTCCTTGCCAGCTGTGGGGCATCTCCTGGCTGCTCCCACACAGCTCCTTGAACGTGGCATCTTTATTCCTGCTCATCATGAATCCATCCCCTCCACCAGCTCCTCCCCATCTTGGGTTTCTGATTTCCCATCCTGGGTCTATTCTAGCCTTCAGGAAGCCACCACTCCCCAGAACTCACCTCATCACTGATAGTACCAGAAATATTAGCACATCTCAAGTCCGGGTACAGTTTGATTACTTTGGCCCTGACCAGGCAGCGGGGACTCCCAGTCCTTATTTGATGTTTCAAAGGGAAGAAGAAATTTCCCCCCAGGGAGGCCAAGGAGGGTGGGTCCATGAATCATGGTGGCAGCATGTGGGCTGACGCAGGGAAGCCTGTGATCAGAGATCAAATATTTGAAATGAGCAGCCAGCATGCCCTAAACCATCCCCATATTTGCTAATAAAAGACATTCATCTGGTTAATGTGCTTTTCACAGTCTGCAAGGCATTTAGCTTCTTGTTTATTATTTACCTCACAAATTAAAATATATAAAATTGGTCACTTGGGCTCTTTATTGCAGGTTGCAAGGTTATTAAGTGAATTAAATATTATTGCGCTCACCAGTCAAAAGACATAAAATGAAATTTAGTTTTCAGCAGGCTATTTGTTACCCCAGAGCTAGTATCTAAACAGTCTAAATTGAAAATGATTTTACACGATTGACCAATTAATATGTTTATTTTTGCCTTTAATTTTTTGGAAAGGAAAAGAGCGAGGCAAGGATAATGTGCGTGTTGCTGGCCAGGCTGACCCTGTGTTAGCTTTGCTGCTGCTGTGGTCTCCCCTGTTGCCCTGGGCTCACACCCCATCCTTCCAACCACTGGGATGGGGATGGGGGTGGGGGGGGTGTCTTCCAAGTCACCAGCCTGTCAAACCTCAGCTGCCCAGCAGAGGGCGCATGTTTCTAGCTTCGGCCCTACTTCCCTTATCATAAGGACCCCGGTCACCGCTGGTCTCACTTTTTCTCTCCCCTAAGCAGAGAGGGAGTGATTTTCCTGGCAAAGAAGCATTCCTTTGTACCATAACCCACCACTCCTTCCTCCCAAGTTGCCTCTTCTTGATGCTGACTTTTTTTTGGTAGGGGGTGAACTGGGAGCCGTGGAAAGGACATGAATTCTCCATTCCTTATGTGGAGTTGAAAATCCGCCCTCATGGCTACAGTGGGGAGCATGTCCTGGACAGAAAGAAGTGGACACTAGGAGAAAATTCGAGAACGTTCTGATGGCCTATCGGAGCAGTCATCACACGAGACAAGACCGGCCCAGAGTTGGGGCTGTGTAGGCTTGGGGCAGGGTGGGTGGTGGTGACTGGTTCATGGAAGTTTGGGGGATGCTCCTGGCCTCTGGTTTCTGAGATGGCTGGATAACCTTCAGGACAAAGCACGTGACCAAGCTTCAGACCATACAGGTTATTTCCCTTGGTTACCTGCGTTTTTGCCCATCTATATACTGGGGTCCCGAAAATCAACCAATGGTAGAATATGAGAAAGACGACTCCTGACTGCAAGGTTTTTCAGTCTATCTTCAGTAACAAATATACAGGATTGGGCGGGGAGGGGGAAAAGAAATAATCATTTAGCACTTCACCAATTGGAAATCTCTGGAAATTGGTATATATATATATATATGTATATATATATATGTAAAGCTCTGCTACTAGAAATCTTTTCCTTAGAAAGAAGCACCAAGGAAGGGTTCGCTTTGATGGCAAAGGGGCTAAAGTCTGATGCTTGTTATCTCCCATAACCACTGGGTTTTGAGAAAAAAAGCTATAAATCTTTCCCCGTTTAAAAAATGCTAGTGTTAGGAGGAAGAACAAAGGAAGAACCATGAGGGACCGAGATGGATTACCGTCTAGCTAAGTTAGGACCAGTGTCCAGCATACTGGAAACCAAGCTTCTGTGTTAAACTGCTCTTCTCGAGGGCCCCCTTCCCACCCATCTGCATATTCACTTGCATAGATCTGCATATGTTGTGAATAAATTCTCACTCATTTCAACTTTAAATAATTTGACTGTTTTGATGATTGATTCCTCCCAAAGACTCTTCTGTGACTCCCGTTCATGCCCTCCAGTCCTCAGCCCCGCTCCCTTCCCTGGCCCCCCACATGGTCGGACCCTTAGGTTTCCTGAAGCTGCTCCGAGATGGAGGTGTACTGTTTGAATGGGCACTTGGCCAGTCGGATCCCTGGGGCTTATTTTCCTGTGACTCTGGAAGGTTTTTCTGTAGTGAAGTCCGTGATCATTATTAAAGTAACTTAAATTCCTATTCAAGAAAGAAAAAATAATAAACCACCTGATTTAAAAAAAAAAACGTGCCTTGTGTTATTGAACTCACATGAGTGCACTTGAATTCTGAATTTAACCTAAGTGCACTCGAAGGTACAGTTTGTGCATTGTAATGGAATTTGGTCGGCCTGGGGTCTCACACTTGGGAGACGGCGAACAATGGGGTTTGGAACCAGGAGAGAAGCTCATTTTTAAAGGGTATTTATCTGACTGAGGAGAACATTCCAGCCCTAAATGTCTGTGCCAGACCTCACTGTAAGGGGACCAGCTCTGGCAACCCCCACCCCGGTAGCTGAGTGTAGGCCCCGGGGATGGGTGTCTGGACAAACCTGCTTTTCAGAGGACCACTTTCCTGGGAGTCAGATTATGAGCCATCGGGGGTTTGAAGCTGTGGGGGCAGTCCCTCCCTGTGAGGACAGACCAAAGAGAACAACAGGTGTCACAGAAGGGATGGGCTGTGAGCCAGGCAGGAGGGCAGAGGCAAGGACAGAAGCATCACAAGCAACTGCTGAAGGTTCTGAGCCATTTTCTGTTCCATGCAAGATGCTAGCCAAGCAGTCATGGACAGAGCACAGGCCCTGCCCTTGAGCGGCCTTGGATGCAGTGTGGACGGACAGCTGTGGGCACAAACTGTGACAGCAGGTAGCACGTCGGGGAAAGAGAATCAACCGGGGTGTGGCCTGACACTGTGGGCAAGCGTCATGGACGTGATGGTCAGCACTAGGTCCGGAAGGAAGAGTCTGAGTCTATCAGGGAGGGAGGGCTACTCGGGGAAAGGGCACGTGGTGGCAAAGATGGGAAAGGCCGGAGTGTGGCGTGGGTGAGGGAGGAACATGGTTTATTGGTGGGATGAGGAGTGCTTGGTGGGGAGCCATGACAGAGAGATGGGCAGGGACCGTTCTGGGCTCGCACGGTGCATCCGAATCAGCTCAGCTGTAGGTATATGGAACCTGCTTCACCTCCAGGGACTCTGCCTCAAGGGGTCTCAGCTGAGTCCTGTGCCTTAGAGCTTTTCAAAGCCAGCATGCAACCAGCCCTGAGGACCTCTGCCAGGATGGACGAGTTGGGCAGCAGAGGACGCTCACAGTTTGAATCTTGCAGTAACGCTGGCCGTCAGGCTTGCATTTTGGAAATCTCCGTCTGGTGGCAGGCTAGAGAATGGTGGGGAGCTGCTGAGGGGAGTTTTGGGGAGAGGGTGGAGATACCCAGACAGGTTAAGGGCTATTGCAGTAGACCACAGCTCCTGGGTCTGTGGCAGAAATGGTGGGAAAGGGGAGAGGGCACAGATTAAGGAGATATTTAGGAGGAAGGATCAGCAGGAATTGAGGGGGCTGGGTAGTAAAGGGAAGGGTCCTTTCATAGCACACTTTAAAGCTGGTTGTTCCTGACAGCAGCTTCCTCTGGGAATAGGGCCCCAGAGTTTATGTTTGTCACATGACATCACAAGCTCTGCTTTTCAACTTAGAATTCTCAGGGATTCAAGGATCATTAAAGCCGGAACATGCTGAATGAGCCAGGGAGAAAGAGTAAGAATGACTCAAGGGATTGTGAGCAAGGAGATGTCAGGAAGGACAAGCAGCAGGTGTGGTGTGGGAAAAGAGAATACGTGGCGGGGGAGACATGCAAATAGACCTACAGCAGGGCAGGAAGAAAAACAAGTCTAAGTAATGAAAAGCTCTGGGCAAAACATAGTCGTTTGCTGGAGGAGGTCCTCTGCTAACAAAATTTCCAAATCATTCCGGGGGCGGTGAAGAGGATCAGGAAGGAGTTACTGTCAATAAAGAGTGCAGATCAATATGGTCAGGGCCAGCAGACCCCACGGAGTAGACATGCTGTACCCAGACAGGCCAGGAGATGGCAGTGTTGTCCCATTGGGAGCATCTCCTTTCAAGGCCACTTTCCAATCCTCTATGAAGGGGAGTTCTGGGGGCCTTCACTTTTCTCCCTTCCTGAGTAATGGCGTGGAGAATCAGCTTAGTAGGCATGGCTCAGCATCCAGCCCATGCTTGGTGGTGGTGCAGGTAGTGTTACTGCTGGACTAATGCACAAAACAGGAAACTGGGAAATACACTGAAGAGATTGCCTAGTGAAACCAGGACTCTAACCGCCCCCACTTGGTCTCCCGGGCTGGTGCTGAGACAGCAGATGGGTCCACTGGCATGATGAAAGGTGAAGGGGGCACCCCCAGAAGAGATTTTAGGCAGCTCCTAATGTGTAAATGAATCCACTTCCCGAAGTCCTTCTGTTAGTTGATTGTTTCTACTGGGGGGTGGGGGGTGGGAATGGGGAATGGGTAGAATTCCACTTCCAATGTTATATAAAGAAGTTAGGTTCCCAGGTTAGCTCATAAATGCCTGTTTATTCTCTGATGCCCATAAATTGCAGTGCATGTATAATGACAGAAATAGAAAATGACGGTATTGCAGTATCGTAATTTAAATAAAGGAAGGAAACAAGATGGAGTGGAAATGGTTCTTTATTTGGGTAAGTGAAGAAAATTAGGTTTAATTAGACAAGGATAAGGAGGTGGGTGAGGCTTGCTATAGAACATCTGAAGGAGTCATCTGAGTACTCTGAAGTCTTATGGGCAGAGCCCTTTAGTGTATTCAAAAGGTTCTGACTCAAAGGAGGTACTGCAAGCTAACAGTCTTTGAGGAGCCCAGATCAGCAGATTAGCCTGGATCACGAATGCCTGGTGTGTGGAAAGGGCACTAGGATAGGATCCTGAAGACTTTGGTTTCCATTCCAGGTCTGGGTGAGTTGCTCACCTTCTCTGGGCCTCATATTCTTCATTTATAAAATGGGAATGACCTCAGTCCCTGATGTACTCCCTGCAAGAATCAAATGAGATCCTGAAAACACTCTTATGTAATAGGTGGTAAGAGGGCTTGGACCTTTAGTGCTTATAACTTCAATCAAAACATTTGGATTTTCTTTCTTCTTTTTCCTCTTCTTTTTTTTCCTTGACACCGGTGTATCTCTAGCCAGCTCTAGGGTGTGTGTGCTATGGATAGCCACCAGTGGGATTGTTACAGCTCACAAATGGAAGAAAGATAAAGGCAGAGTGAGAACGAATCAGACTGGGATTCCTTGGGGATGATATGAATTGAGCTGTACATGAACCCTCCATGGCAGCGTTTCCCAAATGGTGTTCCTTGGGACACTTGCCCCTCCAGATCTGCCAAAAAAAGGTTTCATGGCCAAATAAGCTTGGGAAAAGTCTGAGTTAAGGGGAGTTACACTAGTTTCTTTACCATAGTACCTGTTAGAACCTTTAATGTGAGGCACGACTGCAGATCTCATGGGGTAGAGAGGGGATGTCATGTTATATAGTATCTTGCAAACTTATTTGACCACAGAATTTTTGTTGTTGTTGTTTTCTGAGTAGATAATATTTCTCAAGGTGTGGTTCAGGGACCACTGGCAATTACCTAGAGTGCTTGTTAGAAGAGCAGGTGGTCCGGACCCACCCTAGACTTAGTAGATCTATCCGAAGGGCAGAGGGACGGGGAATCTGCACATATAAGAAACACTCCAGTCATCCCTTTTCTTTTCTTTTTTCCCCCTAATCAATACATTATTTAGGGTATGGTATGTACTTAACTCCATTCTAGTTATTGGAAATAAGGTGGTAAGATAGTTACTCTTCAGGCCTCACAAAAGCTACTTCTAATGAGGATGGGATGCGAGGGGAGAGCGGGAAGACAGGAACACACACAGTGCTGCATAGTCTGATTTTGCTGTGATCTGGAAGACTTGTGTGGTTAGGGAAGCTTTCTTGGAGGCCGTGATGTAAACCATGAAATACTTCACCAAAAATATGTAATGACAATTAAGACTTAAGGTTATGAAAATCCCTCATCTGTCAGGTGAGCATGGCAATCTTGGCCCTGAAGGATTCGTGAACATCACATAAAACCCAGTGAGTCTTTAGCACATTTAATTCAAAGCCCAACCATCTAGCTGGACGGATGCTCTAAGGGAAACACCATAGGAAGTGTAAAGATGTTGACTAAAAGTCTTTCTTGATCTGGCCACCAGGGGGCACTGTCACACAGGGTGGTTTGGTTGTGCGCAGGAGGGGCTGAGGCAGGGGTGAGTAGGTACCCTTCCCATCACATACTGCAAATTGGCAGTATCGGTAATATTATAGGCTGTGCAGTGTGTGGTGAAATTATGGAACATATCACGCCAAGAGGAATAGAAAATGCACATTATTTTCATCCCCTATCTCATTTGATCTGTCTGCATCATCTGACTCTATGGACTTGCTTTCTTCTTGAAAGTTTCTTCTCCTTTGGCCTCAAGGATACAACTCTCTCATTATCTTCCTTCTACCCTTAATTACAACAACTAACGTTTGCAGAGGCTCTATGCTGAACGCTTTATATGCTTTATCTTATTTATTGCTCTGTCCCTGTGAGAGAGGGACTATCGTTCACTCTCCTATACAGGTTAATCTTTATAGAGATTAAGTCATGGCCTAAATTCCATAGCCAGTGGGAGGTGGACTTAGCATCAGAATCAGGACACCCTTAGTCCTGAGTCCTAGCCCAATGTGGAAGCAGTGACCACATTGAGCTGTAATGATCGATTAGCTTGTCTGCCTCTCCCCACCCCCAGCCAGGCTGTGAGCCCCTCCAGGACCACTCTGTGTCGCTGGCATCTAGTAAAGAGCCAAAAATGGTAATGGAATAAGTAATCTCAAAGAGGGAGTTAGATACATGCATGCATGACCATTCCCGAATGGAGGATCACAGGTATTTGTCCCCATGATGGGGACAGACAGCTGTATTGAAGGAACTCTTTTTTTTTTTTCTAGTCCTGTAATCCTGTGACTTTGAATTTGGGAAAAATGCTAAAATCAAAGGGCAAGGGGCCAGCACAGAGAGTTCTGGTGAGTTGAGAGCGCTCAAAGCATTGTCCAGATCCATATGCTCAGCACTGTGGGCAAGGCTGAGCCTGGGCAGGTGGGGCTGGTGGTGTTTAGCCCTGGCATCCTCTCAGGTATGCTGCACCTGTTCCCTACCTGTGGTTTCTGGGCAACAGTCTCTGCTCTATCCTGGAAAGTTTTGGAAGTCCTGGAGGAAAGAACAGAGAGCTGAATAAAGACTGTCTCCTTGGGCTGTTGCGGAGTGTGTGGCAATGGGGAAGGGAGCCTAGGAATCAACTAAAACTACAGGAATGTCAGCCTGCCTTGGGGGAAAGAGGACATAGGGGGCGCCGGTGCCGTAGATCTGTCTCCCTAAGCCTTAACTGAAATGTAATGAACACAGAGTTTTGTCAGCCTGTTTGACCACTCTGCCACCCTTGTCCCCACCAAGCATCTAGTAGCTGCTAGGCACGCATAGCTGTTGGGCACTTGAACTATGGCTGGTATAACTCAGCTACTGGACCTTTAATTTTATTTAATTTTAATTAATTTAAATAGCTACATGTAGCGAATGGCACCATATTGGACAGTGTAGACAGAGAACATTTCCATCTTCTCTACTTCTATTGGACAGCACTGCTCTAGAGGGCTTCTGCTTAATGGCTGGCTTAGCATCATCAAGGGAGGACTTCGGAGCATCGACATCATCCCATTTCACAACCAGTGCAAAGGTGTGGTCCCCTTGAAAAAAAGATGGACATTTATACATACATATGTGTGTCTTCCTGTCTGGCTGGCTATCTAGGTATCTAAGTACCTATGTCTCTAACTATGAACGTAGGTATCTATGTATGTATCTATCTGTGCATCTAACTATGTATGTATCTATCTCCCCAGCAGCTACTATAGAGACTTTGGATCTCCCCCTTTCCCAACACTGGATTTAACTTAGAGGTCTATTTTTTACTTGGTTTTTGCTATTTTCCTCTTTGTCCTTTAAGAAGACCTTGATTGACCTCATTGAAGGGAACGCTAAGAGTCACCAGAGAGCATCAATCAGTGTTTTTCCTGCAGCTGGCGCCTCTCAGGTGCCTGGTCTCTGAGGTGTCTGCTCTGCAGGCAGGGATGCGAGAGCCTGGTCTTGGTCCTTTGAGCTATAACTCTGTCAGGGGGAAGGCAGAGCCGCGGGACAGCTGGGTCTTTTGTGTCCTAGTGGGAGTCGCTGCCTTTGTCATTTCTGAGTGATGTCTGGGAGAGGGCAATATTGGATGTCAAGAAAGTAACTGATGACAACAGGTAAGGAAACCAGGCATGGCCTTTTATTTTCAAAGTCTTTTATTTAAATAAATTTTTCTTTTGCACGTGTTTGAATTTTCTAGAAAAAAAAATACTGACAAATACTATACAGCTTGGACCATTTATACTCTTTTCCAAAAGGTGACTGCCCTTTTTCTACATTTTCCCCTCCCCCAAGAAATAAAAAAGCAAATACATTGAGCAGAGGGAGGAAGGCCTCCTCTGATGGTGGTGGCCGAGTTTGGCAGGAGCTGTTCCGATCTCGGCCTGGGGGCTCCTCCCCAAACCTGTGCTGGTTTAGGAAACCTGTTCTTTATCTATCTTTTTGCCTCCATTAGCTTAAACTCTCCAAGATGGGCCAAGCAGGCTCCGGTCCCGAGGCACCCCTGGCTGCCGGTGGCAGTTCTGGGGCAGAGGCTGGGGAGAAGGAGCAAAAGTGAAGAGGAATAAAGAAAGGGCCGGACCTGGGATGGTGGTGCTGGGAGAAACAGGAATAAGAGAAGAAAACACGGGAGAGAAAGACGAGGATGAGTGGGGAGAACAGGGAATGGCTCTGATGATTGCCTTGGGGCCCTCGCACGGATCCAGGTATTAAACAGAAGTTTGAGGGCCTAGGGCACCCCGGGCAGTGTTGGAGAGACCCTGGTGGAGGTTGTCAGGGGAGGCTGGGGAGGAGAAAACATAAGCCTCGCTCAGCATCTGGGTCTCCTGAGTCCTAAGCAACAGAGAAGTGAGTTTCTGGGTGTTTCGTGCCCGGAGGTAGTTCAGGTCCATTTGATTAGGAGACAGCAGGGCAGTGCCCCTGGAGACAGAGGCCTTGTCATGGCAATGACAACCGACTGCCGTCTTAATTCAAACTAGCAGCCAGTTGCCATGGCAACCGTGTTACTTGTGTGGTCCCTGATCTGAGTGATCCTCTCTCCTAGATCACATCTGACACCCAGCCTCAGCCATCAGCTCTGCGTCTCCCCAAGTCATCCATCTTAGGGGGCTTGAGAATTGGAGGCAGGAAGGGTAGCTGGTCCTAGTGGGCAGTGGCTGGCGTGGGGAGGCACGTGCATTTGGTGTGGGGTGATGAGCGGTCATCCTGTGACGGGAAGGGGACAGCTAGATGCTCCCTGACAGGCTGTCCATGTACAAGGGGACAGAGAAACAGAAAGTGCTTCTTTCTCTGCTCAAAGGGGTTAAGGAGTAGGGGGTCTGAGTGCCCAGGGCATTTGGGGCCCCTTGGTATGAGAAGGTGGGTGTGACTGGTTCTAAAATACATGAAGGCCTGAATTATGACCCACAGGACGGCCCGTTAGAAGACCCTGGTGCAGTGGTCACCACCAGATGCCTGCCTTCCTCAAGCCTGGAGTCTTCCTGCATGGCATGTGAGCACCAGCCAGCCTAGCAGAGTGAACAGCCTACATTTGTCCATGAACACAATCTTGCAGAACAGCTATCAAAGTTTAGCTACATTGTTAATTAAATTGCAATTTTACTGCCATTTAGAACAGCTTTTGTGGGGAAATATTTCAAGAGAGCTACCCAGCAGATGTGCAAGTGACCTTTCAGAGCACAACCTTCTCTCAATTTGGGAAGTCTCCATCTTTGTAATATGGTCACAATACAATCAAAATACCAACCAGTTCATCATGTAAATGGATTAACTCGGCCTCCAACCTCAGCCTGCTGGGGAGACACTCTCCTCAACTACCTGTGGACCTAGTCTACCTGTCATCATGGGTCTCAGGGCACCCACGTCAACCTGACTGTTGGTTCTGCATGCAGCCTCTGGGGAGCATTCAATGCCCACCTTCCATCCTTTGCAGCAATTAGTGGGCTCAGGAAAGAAGGTCACTTGGGGGGATCAGCGAGGTATTACACATTTACCCTTAACATCATTGCATACCCAACAGCAACCACAGACAGTTCTAAGTACCTACTGTGTGCAAGGCACTTGCCTGAGCTTCGAGATAAATATGACTAAACCTCTATATAGCTTTCTTCTACTTTCGTTTACGCTCTATAACTTCTGTATCCCATCTGCAGCATACCATGCAGCTATTACAACCTTATGAAAGTGTTTCCAGTGTGCCTTCTGGGAGACTGTACCAGAAATTGTCTTAATTCCTTCCCTGCTGAAAAGCTTTGGTTACACAGGAGATCCCTAGCTCAGGTGTAACATCCCTTTCCTATCTGTAAAACAGACACTGCCCAGGTCCACAACTGCAGTTCACTGAAGTGGATGGAGTATGCCTGGTTTCCAGATAATTCTAGAAGTCACTTCCAAGAGCTGTTTGTTTGTGCTTGGAGAAGGGCACCTTGTTGAGTGGTTCTGGGGGTAGCGTCTCAAAGAGAGGTCTTAGACAACATTAGATACCTATCAGTGGAAATGGGGACCTTGTCATGAGTTGCAAGATGGTGCTTTCAATGAATTTTGATCCTTCCCACTTTAAACTTTGCCGCCCAGATGAGAAACATGGGAACTTTGTGTGTCTGTATCAATATACAGGGATGGGAACTGTACCAGGTTGCTGGAATGTCCAAATATGAGGATTTCCAGTAAAACGTTATGGAGGGATAGGAACAAGAAAGCACATATCTCTAACCTGAGTGGTAGATGGGTAGACAGTGCAGAGGTACCTTGCCTGGTTATATAATTGTGCATGTGTGCTAGAATCTGGCCGGGCCTTCCTATGAGACATTTTTGGGAGAGCAGATAATGTACTTGCACAAAGTAGATATTCAATGGCCATTTGATGAACAGAATATATTTGTCCAGGTACCCGTTGCCTGAATGTGTGTGTGTATATGTGTGTGCATGTGTGTGCATTTGGGAGACATGTCAAGATGTATGGACAAACGTTCTTTGTGCTTTTGCATATGGAGCTTGCTAGAGATAGGTGGAAGGCATGCCTGAGTCTGTGGCAAAGAGCATTGCTACTGGACACATAGCTGCCAAGACAGTACCCAAGAATTGTCCGTGTTCTTCCTGGGCTGTCCTCTGGTGGGGCACTCAGCCTGAGGTTTGTCCCTTGGTTAGTTCCTCTGTGGACATAAGCGCATCACTTTAGGGATTGCTGCTCTCTAGCCTGTGTGTAGTTAGAAGGTGGCTTAGCCCCCGAGGAAGGACGCCTATGCTTCCTGCCTAACTAGACAGGCAGTGATGGCCTCTTTTCCATCTGGAGAAGCTTGGGTTGAGCAGAGATCCAGAGGTCTTCTTCAGCCTTCTTCTTCTTCTTCCTCTTCTTCCCCTTGTTTCGCTCTGGCTGTTGGCCATTCTTGCCTGGCCGGCTCCAGCAGCAATGACAACAGATGAAGAGGAAGGTGATGACCACCAGCAGGGGCAGCCCCAGGAGGACGCCCAGGCAGATGGTGTTGAAGAGGCCCTCTTGGTGTTTGGTCAAGATGGTGTCCCAAATGAGGCTGAAGAAGGAGCTGATTTTCTCCATGGTGCTTTGCTAGACTGGGGCCAAGGGAAACTCTCAGCTCACTAGCAAGTCCTGGGCTCAAGAGGATGCAGTCTTGTCCACTTGTAACTTATTCCTCTTCCAGCTTTGGGTTTGGGCATGCCAATGTTAGCAGCTGAAGAGAGCAAAACAGACAATTCAAGAGAAATGCAGCGGGAATGGTCTATGATTTTTAACAACATCATATTTTTTAGGCTCGGGGAAAGGGAGGGAATTGGAGATTTCCAGAGTTCACTGAAATGGTATTGAAACACAATAAACAAAATAAATGCATGCATTTAAGTAGGTATTAACTAATTCTTATACACACTATATAGGGCTTAGTGTACAAGAATTAATAGTGTATCAGACCCGGCATGTAGCAAGTGCTCAGCATTTGCTGGATAAATGAGTCAAGTGCGGATTCAGCGTTCTGGGTAGGGGTTGGTGCCTCTATAAGAGCAGTTCTCAATCTTTTCTCCCTGCAGCTCACCTGATAGGTACCGAACACGTACTACTCATGGGAGAGCTGTATGTGACTTTCTATGAATACAACTTGCCATTTTCAGTACTTTCTAAAGCTTAAGCACAAGGTGAAATGTCTAAATCTTGCTACCTGTCATAGGGGGCTTCGATCTCCACCAGGCTAAGAGGTCAGTGGTCCTCATCCTGTCTCACCCCTGCCTTCATGCTCTCTTCTCCGCTCCATCTCCTCCCTCCTTACATCCCACTCCTGTGCCCAAAGAGGACTCACCGAGCTTTGCAGTGGGAGACCATTTGCTGGTTCCCTCTGTTTCTACCATCCTCTCTCTCATTGTCCTCATCCCTGCTTTCTGTCCCTCAACCAAATATTCCCAAGTCTCTTTCTCTGCCTGTTCCTGTTCTTTGCAGTGGAAAAGGAGCCTTGCAGGCTGCTCAGCAATGGTGTTTGGAAACTGGGATGGGGTCCCTACAGCCACCCCGAGCTCAACTTACAGCCTGGGCTGTTCTGGTCACTTGTACAGAGTGGCCCTTCTTCCACTGGTACCCCCTTCACCTCTCCACATACATCTTAGGCCTCAGCTCTTGAGTATGAAGTCTTAACAGGCTCCTTTGGTTCTGGAATCCACAGATTCTTGTGTCTAAAGACTTGGAGGGCAGCATGTTTCAAGGAAATTCAAAAGACCTTCTGGTACAGACATGGCCTGGGACCCAAAGATCAAAGACTCATCGATTTTCAGGCTGGAGACTTTAGAGATCATCCCAACCAATGCTCTCGCTTAAAGACTAAGAATCTGAGACCCAGTATGGGGGAGGTGATATGTCTAAGGCCACACAGAGATGCACCGAACACCCAGAGTTCAGGACGATGACATTACTTTATATTTGCATTTTACTTGCTACTTTTCTAATCACTTTCATATGATTTATATTTTTTAAAGAGAGCAACAGGAGGGTGCATTGTCTATGGAGAAAAGTGCTGGGGGACCTGGGTTCACAATCAGCGTGAAGTCCAGTCTTCATTCTGTTGTCCTGCACTGGGACACACATGTGTGTCCCCTCTTGGGTAGTGTGTTATACTTGGGGGTTGTCTTCAGAAGCCTGATTCCTTGGATAGCACTCTGTAAGTGTCCCGTGCACCTGTGTGTCCTTCCAAAGTCCACCTGAAGTCAGTCCTAGTCTGCTGGCATTTAGACTCACACATTGTCTATACAAATCATTCAGTTGTATAAATTGGTACCTACTCCCATGCCATCTGGTCCATGAAAATGAAGTAACGCTAAGCAATGGCACTGAGATCCCAGTCACCATTCTAGGCACTTCTCCCCAACTGACTCATTTCATTTCATCACAACTTAATGGAGGAGGTACAGTTATTTCCCTCATCTTGCAGGTGAACAGGCAGAGGCAGAGATTACACAGCAAGTGACTGGCAAAGTTGGCCTTACTGATTCTGGAAAGTTTGGCTCCAAATCCCCGAGGGGTGAGCTCCTCACAGGTGTTGCTCTGAGCCTCCTATTCCTTTGTGTGGAATTAACCCATTTTGGCAAGTAGCCCAGGATTTATAGAATCTTACAATATGTGGCTATTCCCCGGATTGATTTCAATGTTTATCCCAATCTGTTGTGGAAAAAGATGACAGAGTGATTTATTTCCCATTGTCAGATACTTCACAAATGCATGAAGATACATACAATAAAAATCCAGTCCTGCTCAAGTGGAGGTTTATAGAAAGCATATGACTGCCTGAACTTAAACTCAACATGCAACAAAGAAAAACGTTCTGAGAAGTCACATCCCCTTGCCAGAGGCTCTGCCTGAGCCCCTTCGAGGCCCTGGGAATATCACATGCCATGGATCTGCCCACACACCATCAAGCCCACAGCCTCTTTGTTGAGACAACACACCCTTGAGCATCCTCTAACTGCTCCCCTCCCCCATCAAGTCCACTCCACGGTCTTGCTCCTTCTCACCCACTTGTCTCTCTGGCTTTTCCTTCTTGCTTTGCCATCACCTTAGCTTTTACTCCAGCCCTTGTTTGGCCCCAGAGTTTTTTGGCCCATCTGGAGGGAATGTCCTGCTCTGTTGAGGGAAGACTCTGGGTAGTTTTCACTAATTTGATCCACACGTATACTTTTCTGGGACCAAATGCCCCTTGTACTGCATGTCTATGACTCAGATTAGATACCACCACCACATTTGTTGACAAACTCTTCTTGCCAGATGTCACACTGGTCCCTGCAGGGAGCATACATGCATCAGGGGCCCACTTTTGGGTTCAACCAGGGAGAAAGAGGAAGGGCTTTGAGCCCTTGGAGAATATCAGGGCATTTTTTCATGAAGATAGAGCCATCTGAGGAGGACCTGGAAAGAGGAGCCGGATCTTGACAGAGAAACATGGGTAAAAGGATGTGCACAGATTCTAGGCAGAGAAACTTTTAGAACATGGCAGGAGAACAGAGTGCCTTCTGGTGAGTCTGGGGCTCAGAGTGTGAGAGAGGAGGACTGTAGGTTGTGGCCAGGGTAGAGAGGGCCTCCGTAGGGTGTGTGTTTATTTGGGGGCTTTGTAATAGGAGGATGCCCTTCAAGAAAAGATAACAGGGTGGGAACAGCCCTGGAAAATGTTTTAAGAGAGCTCTTTATCCATTTAATGAACATTTATTGAGCACCTAATACATGCCACACACTGTGTTAGGTGTTAGGATTCAGTGATGAAGGACAAAGACACGGAGACTTGTATTTTCCAGGAGAGTTATTATTATTGAGGGATCATGTTGTAAAAGACAAATATAATAAGCAAATTTCAACTTAGGTTGCTTAGTTGGCCGAAATAGAAGCATGCATTTGAATTATGTGTTTTGAGTCCCAGGCCCTCCTACCACTCCCAACCTTTGTCTCAAACTCGTCTATCCCATGACACCTAAAATAGCCTTTGAATAAATAGATTTCTTTTCAAGCTAAAGCTAAGTCAATAATTCACTTTTGGATTCCTGAAGGTACTTATTTGAGTCTACTCTCCATATAGCCAAGGAGAGTATTCATTAACATTTGGGAGCCCAGTCTGGGGAAAATTCAATTAAAAAAGTATTCTTTATATTTTTTAATCTAAGAATTCTCTTCTAGGCCCCCCCAGGTTACTTGCTGAGCTCTGCTAATCTGTACTGTTTCATTAGTATTTATGAGTCTCGCATTGTTAGCATTTCCAGGAAACAATCAAGTATCTCCTTGGTGGTAGGAATTAAAAGTTAGAGCTTCCACAGAATGTTTCGTAAAAGGAGCCACACTTTGGGCCTTAGGAATGCTCTCTGGGAGACCCCATCATTTTGCTGGATCTCAAGTATTGCTGACACTGTTTGAAAGATAATTAGTCTGTTCTTCCAAAACCGACAATAGGTGCCAACAAACTTGATTGTTTGATTGTTGTTATGGAGGAGGGTGTGTGGAGAAAGAGGAGGGGAAATGTTACTTTCAGTTTCCTTAAAACCAGAAATGACTCATCCTTACATCCTCTGTGGTATCTCGCTGGGGAGAGAGTCATTCATTCATTCTTTCTTCCAAGAGGCTTCAATCTGTCCGTATGTAAGGTGTTGATTGGTAATAATGATCGCAGAGCCAGAAGACCTGGGTTTGAGCCCTGGGCCAATCTGTGTAACCTTGGTGAGTTACCGAACCTCAGCTACAAAATGAAGCTAATGAGCTTCCCTCTTAATGATGTTGTGAGGATTAAAAGAGCTCAGTATACTTAATGCATTTTGTAAAGTGTAAAATACTATAAAACAATCTATGAAATAGTGAGTTATCTCCAGATAACAATGGACTAATTCTAGCGTTGAGCTTTCTTTCTCCCTCCCTTACCTCCAAGCCCAATCCTCACCACCAAAGAACCATGGGCCCCCACCCCATTCAAATGAAAAGAACTTCACAGGTAACCTTGCTGCTTATGGCTGGTCTGAGGGTCTGTGGCTGTAATTCTAGACTCTGGCGTCCAACAGGGATGGAGAAGAGTTGCTTGGGGACATCTGTTGGTGTCTGGAGGATTGTTGAGCTCATAAAGTAAGGCCTGGGAAGAATACTTAGCCCTCTGTGGGCCTAGGCTCACTCCCAGCCTTTGGAATCCCTGAAAGTGTGCATGGATCATCCTTCCCCAGAGAGGTCTGATCCAGCCCTGAGAGCCAAGAGCTGCTCCAGAGTTGGCAGGAGTTGGCCAGGCTGGCCCTTGGACTGGTTTTCCTTCTGGAGCCCCCAGGCAGGGGGCGGGGCATGCTACTTTGCATTGTCTCTCTTTGTTCCTGTTTATTTGATGAAATAATACATGTAAAGCTGTAGAGTAGAGTCTGTGGGATAGTAAATGCTTTCTAGAAAGGCTAATGATAAAGATCATGATGGTACCCAGTTAAAATCCCTAAGAGCAACTCCACAGTGACCTCCACATGGTCTAAATCTTTTGCCTTCTAATGGGGGGTGGGCTGAGGTGGGAGGTTCAGGTCTCCCTTTGACCCTTCAGACTCCTCTGCTGCAGCTGCAGGCTCCAGGCTATGCATGGGTGGCGGTGGGGGGTGGGGGTGGGGCAGCATCTTACAATTGAAAGTTGGCAGCAGAGACCTCCCTTGGCCTTTCCTCAAATGATTTCATTGAGTTTTCTCTTACGCTGTGGTT